AATGGAAACAGTAAAAGAGAGCACGTACAGTGAGTTTCTCAATGAGGCAATCATCAGAAGCACCTAAATCACAGACATAACCAGGAAGACAACTGCTATCATGGGCTGTGTCTGTGATCTTGTTCGACGTGGTTTCTTGCAAGGGAATCTCAACAACAGGCAATGGCTTGAAAGAAGAAGAAGAAGAAGAAAGAAGAGGAAATGTGAAACCAATATAAGAAAGTAAAAATTGAGCCATAGAAGGAGTCCCTCTTAATATCTGTAAGAACAACTTCATTACAAACCCTAACCAATTCATCATCCCTTTCCATACTTCGTTCACTGATCTAGACACACACACTTCTCCTCCTTGTTTCCCTCCTCCTCCTCCTATTTCCTCCATAATTGCCAATCCACAATTTTCTCGTTCTGATTTTGTCTTAAAAAGTCAGAAAAATAATTTAAAGACGCTGGCCGAGACTATGTTGTCTTTCTAATTTATGGGCGTGTCGTTTGGAAGATAGTTTCTGTCGGTTGGGAAATGGAGGGATGGTGGTGTCGGCGGCGTCAGTGGGGGTGGAGTATGGTGGGCTAGAGACGACTTTTCGGCTTTCGTTGCCTGGACTAGAAGTTCGGTTAAGGCGGAGAGGAGAGCCTTTAGATAAATTGAATTGAATCAGGGCATTTTCAAGAACAAGTTTTAACTTTCAATTTTTTTTAAAGAAAAAAGAAAAAAGAAAAAAGAAAAGAAAAGCTTAACTCATTATTTTGTTAACTATATTAGTCCCCCACTTTCTAATTTGATTTCAAATGGATTCAGATGATTTAAAATTTAAAATTTTTTATTTTATTTTATTTTATTTGGGTGATTTAAAAAGGATATTGTGTTGTTTTCAAAGAGACAATAAAAAGATGATTTAGTAGTAACGAGATGTTGCACGCGCTGTTCAGAAAGTGTTACTACTATTTATACGTTGATGTATGAGTTGGAAACATGAGTTATTTTTTTATATATATTTAATTAAGTATCAATTATCTCTCATATGATATGATAATAATAATAAAAAAACCATTGTAAGAGGATATTCCTTTGAATTTAAGCTGTACTGTGTTTTATTTTTATATTTAATAAAATGTTAAATTGCCTCTCAACTAATCTATTGATAGCAAAATTATGAAAATACAAAAATGTTTCTTGAGGCTAGTTTTAATTTTTTTTTTAAATGATATTTTGATTGGTTTTTTAAAATTTAAAAAAATTATTTGTTTCTAATCAATTTAGTAGTAACTAATAGATACTGTGAAAAAAATTTAATGCTTCCAATAATCAATTTTAAGCTTTTTAGGTGGAGGAGTAAAATTATAAAAATATTATTCCGATTAACGGTATTTTTACTCATGATCTATAGAGTTTTATCATTGAAGTTGAAGGCTGGAATAGCTTGAAATTTCATTGGGCATTAGAAAATGAAGGATTAAGATCTAAATTTTCTTACAAGAAATTGAAGAAGAACATAACTGATGGAATCATGAAAAAACCAGTGTGGGAAGAGCAAAATTTGAAACTCTGTCGCTCAACTGCTCAAGCGCAAATGGCCTAAAACCAGGTGGTAGATATTTGCAATTTTGAAGTTAAAGACACCATCAAGTTATAAAGTCAATAACAATAGCAGATGCTCACTAATTTGGTTTATTTAATTTACTAAAGCAAATATTAACGCAACACGTGGGAAGCCAAACAGTAAAACAGAGCGCGCCAATAGCAAAATAACCTTAATTGCGTCAAACGAACTCCCTCTGCCTATTTTCTCCTTTGGTTTCGCTTTTCACGTTTACATGTGTTGTCTTTGTATCATCCTCCCTTCCAACCCCTCTTACCGTACAACAATCTCTATAATTTCTTAAAATTATCCAATAAATAAATAATATATATATATTTTTAGATCTTTGTAGTTAATTGTCCATGGAAATGACTTCAAGCCCACGAACCGTAGAGGAGATCTTCAAAGATTTCAGTGCTAGAAGAGCTGCTGTCGTCCGTGCTTTAACTTATGGTAATTTTATTTTTAGTTCGTTCTGTTTTTTCTTTCCTTTCCTTTCCTTTAAATCTCGAATCTTTTTATAAATATGATCGTGGGTTTTTTTACGTTTGCTTTTATTGTTTTCAGATGTGGATGGTTTTTATGGACTCTGTGATCCAGGTAATGTGTAGTGGTGTAAATGTAGATTTGAATTATTATTGATTTGTTTTTCTTGTGGAATCTTGGTTCTAGTTTAGGGTGAAATTTAGAGAAATTGTTTGGTTCTCGAGAAACTATCTGGTGGAGTGATTTGAAGTTTTGCACGTGATCTTCGCTGCTGTATTTTTTAGGATTAGTGGGTTTTATTTCAGAAATTGTGGTAGATTTTATGTAAATTTAAGCTTTGAAAGTGGAAATTGAGGCATCACTGTTGAAACTTCTATGTTTTGTTGACTCTGTAAACAGAAAATTGCAATTAAAATGGATATTAAAAACTGGAAGAAGAGAATTTGAAATAACTAGTACTTGTAAATTGGTAATGTTTTTATTTATGGAGAAACAAGAATTGTAAGATTTGCATTTTGTTGTTACTCTGCTTTTCCTCTGATTTCTCAAGGAATATTAGCTTTACTCTCTCTCTCATTTTGTTTTTTTTTGGTGTTAGATAAGGAGAATTTGTGCCTCTATGGACATCCAAATGAAACATGGGAAGTAACCCTTCCAGCAGAGGAAGTTCCACCGGAGCTTCCTGAACCTGCCCTTGGAATTAATTTTGCTAGAGATGGAATGAACAGAAAAGACTGGCTTTCACTGGTTGCCGTGCATAGTGATTCATGGTTGCTTTCTGTGGCTTTCTATCTTGGTGCCCGTCTTAATCGGAATGAAAGGTAATTTAGTGCACAATTGCAGGGACATGTGGTATTCTCATTCTAGTACATTTTTCTTTTGTTTTTCGCTCTCCAATTTTGATGTGATTAAAATGTTGATGAAGTTAGGGAAGTTAACCTTGGGAAAATTTACATCAGATTTGTTGGATGATTAAATAGATGGTACCACCATGTCCCACCAATCAATGACCCGATCATCTTTCTTAATTGCCTTCCAGTTTGTGAGATTTAGAATCATGGTAGCGTTATCAATTGGTTTGCTTGAACAAGATTTATTACATATATTGGATCTTCTTGATAATATCCTCATTTTTTAACATTTATCCCTTTACAAAGGACACTTTATGAAATTGTTTATTATTTTTTAGCACCTTATAAAATCTTGTTATAAAGGATTCCAGAAATTTCAAAAAATCCTTGACAGAAAGTAATGTCAAGATATGCTTTCAATTGAATACATGGCAGCATGCAGTGGTAGTATAATTATTCTTCTTGGCAAATTATGATTTGTTTGAATTGGTCAGGACTGGATAGGCCACCACAGATAATATAAAAACTTTAAAAGACCAACCATCTATTTTGGCATGCAATATTTGTCTTGCAGACCTGAAACATGATCATTTTCAATTTGCATATTGGGATGTTTTCAGGTTTATTTTTATTGTGTTGTTCAGTTTTTCAGTGTGATGTTATGTTGAGCATGGTTTTAGAAACTAAAGTACATTTTATTGACAGGAAAAGGCTGTTCAGCCTGATCAATGATCTGCCTACTGTCTTTGAAGTTGTAACAGAAAGGAAGCCTGTGAAAGAAAAGCCTAGTGTAGATAGTGGAAGCAAATCTCGAGGCAGCATAAAGGTGATTAATCAAAAATTGATTTAGACTGTCTCTATTTTCTGATAATCTCAAACCTGATCAATAGCTCTTCATTCTTATTTTTCTCTCTGCTTGTTAATTGTTACAACTAAATACTAATCTGGTGTAGAACTATATCATGCATCACCCTAGCGACCGATGGTGCCATCAATTTTGGTATTCTATTGATATACTGCTTTAGTGATGCATAGATGCAGTTATTCAGTAAGCAACAGCAAGCCTAATTTCCAAATGTATACACTTTCTACTTGTCCTCAACCTTTCATGGATGTACTGGTTTGGACTATTAAATGCATATTATTGCTGGAACCACTGACTGGGTTCCTCCTCTCTGTAGAGATCAAGTGATGGACAAACGAAAAGCAACCCTAAGCTTACAGAAGATAGTTTTGAGGAGGAAGAAGATGAACATACTCAAACTCTATGTGGGAGCTGTGGTGGAAATTACAACTCCGATGAATTCTGGATTGGCTGTGATGTCTGCGAGAGGTGGTACCATGGAAAGTGTGTGAAGATAACTCCTGCTAAGGCTGAGAGTATTAAGCAATACAAGTGTCCATCTTGTATGAAGAGGAGCCGGCCATAGTCAGTGTCGTTGCGGTGGCAGACAAAGTAGAGAACATTATCCTTATGCAATGTGAAAGTTAAAATACTTGTTTATAACAGATGCCTCCAACTGTTTAGTTTGCCTTCTTCCCAACTGAACCCTTTGCTTGAATAGCAGGTTATGTAATCTGATCTCTTATTTTATGTTAAATGCATGAATAATATTAAACTATAGATGACTTGCTTTGCAGGAGTCTGCTTGTCTGCCTGGTGATCTAAACTTATTATGCCATCTCAAGGAGTGGCATCCATTTTCCTTTTATTAATTAGTTATCCTAATTATAGAAAATGATTTTTAACAGGTAAGAGTGGAACATAATATTGTGCTATTGGCATCCATTTTGCTTGATGCATGACTGAGACCAGTTATGGAAATGTGGCCTCGAGATACGCTGCTGTTGATGATCCCATGATGAGCTGTGGCAACCAAACATCTTTAAGGGATCCTTTCCTGGCCCAGCTCGCTAACACGCTAGCTAGGATCCGAAATGTCCCGAATAGTCACTGAGCTAGGTCCAATCTGAACCTAAAAGCGTGGCCAGTCCAGGACACTAGAGGATCTCGATTGCCTTGGCAAGACTGGACTAGAAAGTCCATTTGACTGCGCCTTCGCTACAGAATGCCCTCTGGACTAGAAAGTCCATTTGACTGCGCCTAATGCCTGGTTTTTCTCCCAGGTGATAATCAGGGTTGACTGAGGTCGAATAGTGCAGAAAAAAACAAAAGGGACAGACAGAACATATGCTTATCATGAGCTGTACAGTTTTTGGACTTTGAGCAATACCCTTGAATCTCCTTGCCATAGATGACAGAAAAGTTGAAAAACCCTTTTGAGTTTGGAGTTATCCAGACTCCTACTCTTAAAAGTTTGGTTTATCCTCGACAAAAGACATCATCTGGCATCTTCTTTAATCAAATTATATCTTAGTTCTCATCGAGCCAATCATCTTCTCCCTGTCTACATAACTGTTCTTTTCTTGCTCTCTTGTTTTAATAACCCTCCTTATAAGGGAGAAGACGTAGTCCATGCATCATTACTTGTACGGTGGCATTGACAGTGTGTAATCACCTTAATTATTCCAACAATGGGTTCAAGTCGCTCCGATGTATCCAACAAAGAAAGATTGCGCTGGACGCAAGAACTGCACGATCGGTTCGAGGAGGCTGTTAATCAACTTGGTGGTCCTGATAGTGCGTTCTTGGTTAATCAGTGAACATTCATTAATGATATTTAATAAGCCACTAATTAATACTGTGAACCTTTTCTTTTGAAAGATTTTCAGTGATCAAAACTACATAGAAGCTCACCCTGCTAATTAAGCTTTGACCAAATTAATTTCTTATCAATACACTGCAATTCCAGTGATGTTTCTCCTGTTTACTGAGGTTTGTAAGATGTCTTGTTATTTATGTGATCACTCATGTTTATATCTGTAACGATTCGCAGGAGCAACACCAAAGGGTGTCTTGAGGGCTATGGGCATCTCTGGGTTGACTATCTATCATGTCAAGAGCCATTTGCAGGTATTTATCTGTTTCTTCCTCTAGGTAGTTTGCACTCCTGCATGGAACTATACAACCCATTAAGATTTTATGTCTCCAACCTGGATTCTTACTGTCGTCAATTCAGATTTCGACCGCAACATGCATAGCTGCACTCTTGTATTTTATCCTGACAATTGAAGGATAAATACTAATTAAAATACATTCACTCATGATCATTGATACTATAGAGTTTTTTTTTTCTTTTGTATATAATATGTTTCTTCCTTGTTTTCCTTTCAAACTGAAATCTCTGTCCATGAGATAGTAAAAAGTGTGATTAATAACATCCAGGGCTTCTGTTAATCAGTCTTTAATATTCTCTGATCTCCCTCTCTTCTTCTTTTCTTCAGAAATACAGAATATCGAAGTTTATCCCAGAAACCAACAGTAAGTCTGGAGTACCATAAATTTGCAGTACTTGTAATATTGCTTTTGTGTATGCTAATTTTTCGGTATCTTCCTTCAGGAGGGAAGTATGAAAGGAGAAATATTTCAGAAATGTTGCCAAATTTCAGTGCGACATCGTGAGTTAATTACTAATTAATTAAGTAGTTTCATCTCCTTCAACCTGTTCATGAACTTGTGTTCTAATCTAAGTACTGGTTGCAAAATTCTTGCAGTGGAGCTCAGCTCAATGAAGCATTACTGATGCAAATGGAGGTTCAAAAGCGACTGAGCGATCAACTTGAGGTAGCAACATAATTTTCTTCATGCAGATTTATTTGCTCAAGAGTGAAAAATGAAACTGTGTTTTGCAATTGTAAATAAACGCAGTGCATATGTTTGTTGATTTCTTTTTTGTTTGTGCAACTCCGAAGGTTCAAAAGAGCTTGAAGATTAAGATTGAAGCCCAAGGGAGATTCCTTGAGAGAATCGTGGAGGAAAACAGAAACCGAAGTGCGTCCATTAATCCAATCCCAATACATAGCAAGACTTTCTCTCCAGTGTCACAGCCGTCTCTTTGTGATGAATCAGAATCAAATGCTAAAGAATTTGAAACTGATTCGGAGGGTGAGAAAGCTGAAATACAGCCCGAAGAATACCTTCAAGCTCCTAAGAGATTGAGGACAGAAAACCACGCTTTACCTTCGCGGTATCAACTCCAACCTCTCAATCCTGATCCTTACAATCAAAACATGGTTCTTCAAAGAGATGCAAAATTTTCATATCCATCTCACGATGCCAACTTCCCATGGAACATCTTGGCCACCTGTCCATCATCTCTAGTGCCCAGTTTTTTCTAAAGTTAATAACATGTTGTATTGTTGTGGTTGCATGAAATAAAAGGAATGGAAGCACCATTAATTAACCATCGGATGATTTCACTGTTATTCAGAAAACTTCAGTGGATATCTTACTTTGAAGATTAAGAAGGCAACCAATACATTTCTGGTGATGATATATAGCTGTGTAGAAATAAGAACATCCACATATATAGCATTTAGTGGATGCCTGTTTGATTATATATGAAAGGCGATCTATCTTTTGCCCTGTTTTTTTTTTCTTTTTCTTGGTTTGTTGAGCGAATGCATTTGTTTAGTACTCGTGTTCTTGCCATATTTTTTTTAGAGTATAACTATATTCATTTTATTTTTTTTTTTTTTTATATAAATTTTAAATTTTTAATAGATATTAACCGAGCTAAACCACTATTTATTATAATAATCTCAAATATAACTAATTTACTAACTTGGTGTTTTCTTGATTCATTTGGTCTAGCAATCCGATTCCGAGATATTTGATCCAATATTACAGGATGGTCTATTTAAAAGAAAACAAAGTTAAAAAATTATTTATATTTTTTTTCAAATGAATTAGATGTATTAGACCATTATCATGCACAAAGTTAAAAAATTATTTATATTTTTTTTTCAAATGAATTAGATGTAATAGACCATTAATAAGTCAGGTTAGTATATTGGCGGTGCTCCACAATGGATTAATATTAATTTTTTTTAAATATAAAAAATATTAAAAGTATAGATAATATTTAAACGTTTGAGGTCTAATAACCATATTAGAGTCATCTGCTTTTGTTTTGATACCATACCTAAAATGTCTGGGTCTGGCTGCTATGTTAAGCCCAAATATGGTTGTCAAGTTCAAATAACTTGAGCCTAATATAATTTGATAAATATATCTAGTTTGATAAAAAAAATAAAAATAAAAATGTATTTTAAATGTCAAGAGAAAAAAAACAAAAAAAATACTAATAATCAATAACCGGTGATAATCTAGTCATTATTTGTTCATACGCATCACATCATGTAGTGAGATAGGGAATGATCAAATTTAGCTATTGAAAAGAATAAGACACATCTCTTTAATAGTGTGGGCCCACTTTTTTTCTAAGGAAGAAAAAAATAAATTATTTTTTATTAGATGATAAAAAATTAAAAATTAGACTATTATTACAATTCATAGTAAAAAATCTCTAAATTTACAATGCTTTTCCAACTTTTATTATAATAAAAGGAAACTAATCTTGGAAATATTCATAGTCATGTGATTTAGTTTAAAAACCTAGTAATTCAAGGCCAAAATCAAGCGAAGTTTATAGTTCGATAACCTAAAAAGTTTGACACACTCGATCAAAACTAATTTATTCAAGTAACCCGACCATGACTCACTGCAAACCCAATTACTCAAAAAACAGAAAAAGTTTGGCCTTTTGACTGTTTATTATACCTTGGGCAATCTAGTGCCTAGTAACTTATCAGTGGACTATTAACTCGATAATTTAGGTTAAATTTGACAACTGTAATGATAATAATCTAGCATTTTGTATTAGTGAAACATGATACGTTAATTAATTATAAAATTCCGGTTTGGATTTTATCAATAGATAAAAGATGAGAAACTTTATACTACTCGATAAATAATTATCAATACTTATATAATTAATCAATTTTAAAGAAAAATAAATACGAAGATAAAAAAGAAAATCATATCTAATATTTTTATAAAGGTTCAAAATTTTTTTTTTAATTATTTTTTTTCCTTCTCCTTTTATTTATCTAATATTACATAAATAAACATTGGTTCTTTTAAGGTTTCATGATTCATAACATGTTGCGGGTCATGATACTAAAAAAAGAGACCCATCACCATGGAAAGAGCGTGGAAGCCTCATCCGATAATCCTACTTGGCTGCTATTTATTATTTGGGCTAGACTAGGTTTTATTTATTTTTGTATTTAAAAAAATATTATTTTTTAATTTTAAATTAATATTTTTTAGTGTTTTTTAATTATTTTGATAAGTTTATATCAAAAATAATTTTTAAAAATTAAAAAAAATATTATTTTAATATATTTTTAAATAAAAAATATTTTAAAAAATAACTAACAGCTAATCCCAACTAATCCAGAGTAATTAACATGAATGTATTTAGGTTGTCTATTCTAGACTTGGTCACCCATGTTACTAGTCAATATTAATCAATATATTGGTTGGATTATTGGATATTAAGATAAGATTTCTTGTTGACAAATATATAAACTAAACAAAAGAGAGATAAACAAACAGAGAAGTTCTTGGCCTTCCCACCACTTGTTAAATGCATGAATATAATTAATGTGACAAGTTAGTTTGAGAATGAAGATTTTTCCTTCAAACTTCAAATAAACGTGCCTTCTATATATATATATATATATAGAAGGCACGTTTATTTGAAGTTTGATAAACACATCACAGTTTGTTAGGTACGTAGTTTTATTTACATTATATATATTTCATTGTTTTTTTTTATAATTGATTTTGAATCTAAATGATAATATAAAGAATAGACTTATTTAACTGAACCAAAATTGCAGAAGAGATTTTTTTTTTATCAAAAAGATAATAGCATATTAGTAATTAAATACATATATAACTGCTTGGTACAAGTTAAAGCATTCCACTCATGCAACACAGATAATACAGTAATTAATTAAATACAACAAAAAAAACATATACAAAGCTAATGTTGTTATATATAATAACCGGGTTATATATATGCACAGTGAACTTGTATAAAATATGAAATAGCATGCAGGAAGTTTATGTCTTTATTGTTGACCTTATTATAAAATTGGTAAATACAAACAAAATAAATACAAATTATAGTGAGCTTTACGACAAAATAGTCTCTAGATATATCCATCATTAAATATTGATAAAAATATTCTTTTATTATATATCAAGAGAATTATAGTGAAAAAAATGTAAAAAAAAGTTAAAATGTATAATAATATGTTATTTATATAAATAAAATGATCGATAAAATTAACCTGTCGATAAAATCTATCTGTAATGCTCTCATTAATATTTAATTTATGACCTGGTAAATGACCTCCTCTCTTTCTTCATTTCTTTTTTTTCTTCATCATCCCAATTTTTTTTCTTCCTTTTTCTTCATTATCCCAACTTTGTAACAAACAACATACCTTTTATTTTAGCATAAATCAATCTATCATCATGAATTTGACCAACCTAACACTTAATCTATTAATATCCATGTTCTAGTTTTAATTTTATTGAGGATTTCTCACATCAACTAAGCAAAACTATCTATTGTTTATTTGAACTTAATTTTAAAATGTTAATTTTTATTGCATATTTTTGTAGTATATATATTTTGTTTGGGTGTTTACTTGTCTTATAACCTTTTTTCCATAGAAATTTGGTGGATGAATGTTTGATTTGTATCTGTTAGGGTTTGTTTGAGATCTTGAAAAATTGTATTTGTTTATAAATTGATGAAATTTATTTCAAAATTGTGACTTAGGTGTTTTGTAATGAAATAAATAATGACTTATTTAATGGTTTAGTTTTACATTGTATTAATTTTATTCTTGAGTTGAAAATTCCAGTAAATATATAGAAGTTTGAATTTGTGTAAATGATTGATAATGAATTAAGAATATTATTAAAACAGATTGAATAAGTTTCAGTTAAACTAATGTTAGCTAATGTATTTAGTTTCCATAATTAATTCATACATGTTATCATTAATATTCTATATAGATTTTATATAAGAAATGGATGATCATTCATGGATGTATCGAGATTCACCTGAAAAGTTGTATAGGATGAATTATTGTAATGAGATTGAAGGTTTTATTAATTATGCACTATCTAATCTAAGAAATATTAGTGAATGTGGTATTAGATGTGTTCAAACTATACACAAGGAGAAACTTCCGCTTTCACAAAGATTAGTCACTTCTTTAGAAATTATAGAGGAGGAGGAAGAAGAAGACAATTCTAATTAATGAGCGTAATACAAATGTGTAATGAAATTAATTATAATGTCATATTTCTAAATGAAATTAACTTCAATATAATGATAATGACATGAATTTATTATTACATTACAAGAAAATATTTATTTCTTATGATTTTATTATTATACACATAATTAATATTATTTTGTTGTGTGTGCTGCTATGATTTTAAGTATTTGTAGGATGGATAGATATCAAATACAAATACAATCTAACCATAAAAAATATTTTATACCAATGGAATTACCCATGGATCGTAAAATACCAACAGATATACTAATAGATTGAGTTCATTTATATATTCTAGAGAGTTTTGAAACTATTCATTTTTCAATGACACTATTCATTTTGTTCTTTACATATAATTTCACTAATAGATTATGTTTGTTGGTATATTTTAGAGAGTTTTGAAATTATTCACTTCTCAATAAGACTTTTCACTATATTCATTATATATAAGATTATAGATGAATTAAGTCTGTTGGTATTTTCCCGAGAGCCTTGGAACTGCGCACTTTTTAATGGCACTATTAATTGTTGATTATTATAGATAGAATAACCGACAAATTAAAAAGTTATCGGTGATATTTTATGGGGTTTTTAAATTTTTTGATTAAATTAAAAATTTCAACTAATTATTATAAATGGAAACACTGATGAAAATGTTAAAAATATTAATATTTAATTATTTTTCAGTAAAATTATTGGTAAAAAAAACCTAAATTAAAAGACCAAAATCTCTAATTTTATAATAGACATGCATTTCTTCTTCTTTTTCTTCTCCTCCTTTTATCTTCTATAAAAACCAAAAACATCTCCTTTTCTTTCACTTCTCTCTCTTCTTTTCTCATCCTCTATTTCTTTTCTTTCTTTTTCTTCTCTTCTATGCATGGCAGTTATGTCATTCTTTATTTCTTTCCTTATTTTTACCTTATTTTGGTTAATTAACATCTCTCTTTTCTTATTTTTCTTATTTGTTGTTTTTTTCTCTTCTCAACTTTAATCACAACATAATTAAGGTAAGAGTTTTCTTTTTTCTTTATTTTTTTTGTATTACTTTTTTTTTAAATTTTTTTTTCTATTCTTAATAATTGTTGGAATGTTATTGTTGGAGGTTTTTTTTTCATGTGAAAACAATTTTGTTGTATTTAGATGATGTATTAAAACAAGACGCTCTTCTAAGAGCATGAAAAAATGGTTTAAAACTTGCTTGTCATTTTCTAG